GTTTGCTGTTCAAGGGAAGCCGTATTCCGGTTCCGTCACTGCTCCGAGGAGAAATGCTAAAATACATTCATCGCGCTCACCTTGGTGCCAACTATGCCATTAACCGGGCAAGAGAATTGATCTTTTGAAGGGTTAAGTAGAAGCTCATGTATCGAATTGTGAGGAGTGCAGTTCACACGAAAACTGTCAGAAGACGGAGCCAAAGAGGCCGCATGATCTCTCTGACCGATCGTGGCAGGTGTCGGTGGATGTATTCAGTGATGACGGGAAGGTTTACTTACTCACGGTGGATTACTATAGTGTTTATTTTGAAATCGATCTACTCATCACTACGACCACAGAGGCAGTAATCAACAAGCTCACAGTATACCGGAGGCACTGGTCTTCTACCATTGACTCCACTTTAGCAGCGGTGCGTTCCTGGCGTTCGCAACCAAGTGCAAATTCGTGCACCAGCAAACAAGCCCACCTGTCAATCGAATAGAATGGCGGAGTCGGCAGTGAAACAAACCAAGCGACTGATATCCAACGCTAGAGCAACTGGTGAGGACCTCATGCTACTGGAGAATCGCAACACTACTTCAACGAATATCGGTTTGAGTCCGGTGCAGCGGCTATACAGCCGAAGGACTAGAACGCTGATGCCGGCATATGCCACGCTTTTGCGCCCAGTTTCACCACAGAATGAGAGGTTACAGAACCATCTGATACGACGAATGATTACTCCGAAACGACACTATGACTGCAGTGCTGAGGTACTACCTCATCTAACAATGGGGAAAGAAGTCTGGGTTCAACCATTCCCCGATAGTCAAGAGCAGTGAAAGAATGGTGTGGTGGCTGCGAGCGTCGGTGCCAGGTCATACGAAATAAACGTTGGAGGGCAAACGTTCAGAAGAAATCGACGGCATTTGAGAAGACACCGGATACCACATTGTGGATTGGGAGTGGAGTAGCAGACGGCGTGGGGCAAAGGGACCACGGCCGCAGATACAGCGAATACGACGCGGAGTGGCATGGTGTACGGGGTAGATCTCAATATGGAGGCGCAAGAACACGAGAAAAGGGCTGATGTATTGGTAATATCAGATCAGAGTGAGCAGATGAACTAACCGAGTGAACCAGATAGCCAATGGGAGGCGGATGTGACGCATTCGATCATTGGACTCGGATTGGTCGATATTCACGTGACTGATTCACCGTTTGTTTAACTGAGGCAGAGTAGGAATCTCATCGACTCAGAAGGCTCGTTAGTTATGGATTTGAACCTGCAGTTTATATAGAGTAGTTTTGGCTTACTAAACATGCTGTAATTTTCGCTGAGTTCTGTTTGGCGAACGAACACTCGTCCCTGAAGGACTGAGTTTTACGACAGTAGTTAGCTGCTGTTTCTGCGGCGAAAGTCGGTGCGGGCATGATGAGACGGGTGGACTGTTGGTACGGATAGGGTGCGTAATCTGAGAAGCCAAACAAAAAGCTTCGGTCATTAGCTGAACGAGCTTGCGGTACTGAGAGAATAGTTGAACGTAGGCGGTGGAAGTCTGTGGGCAAACGTAGACTGGGATAATAGCTGTAATGCCGGCTTTGGTGCCATCGACGTTGAGCGTCGTTGCGGGGTCGACTATCCTGTGTTCTTTCTCATCGACCAGGAGGTCGCAATGTCTGTGGAAGTCTATGGCGATAATATCAAACGGGACGGTGGCAGTAATGAACACCCATCGAAAAGTTCTACGGAGACCCAAGTTAAGGGTTACAGAACGCTGGCCGTTAATAGGGATTAGTGTGCCATTGGCAACAGGAAGACTGAGAGTGGCCGGATAATTGCCACCCCAGGTGCAAGAGGAACCACGTTAACTTCAGCCCAGGTAACGACCAGGAACGCGGTTCCCGCTTTGCAGTCCTTAACATAAGGGAGACGACTGCCGTCGGCAGGGTCATTGACATTAGTCACCTTTACGTCATGGCCCGAGTGTTGCCCTGTTGAGTCGCACTGAAGTTGCAGTGTGTGGTACAACGCCTGGCTTGTTCACTAAATCCGCGGTGGTACCCAGCAGCACGGGTTACCGATGGCAGTGTCGTTACGATTAATCGATTTGCCAAGTGAGCGGCATCCGTTGTTGCTAAACCCGTTGTTACTCACGGCACAAAGCAGCTAGTTCTGCTAAACTAGTCGTACCTTCCTGTGAAGAATGGGCAGACTGGGTGGCGTGTGAACAACCAGGAACGCTATTATACATGCTAGGTAACTGTGGCAAAGGAGGATTGAGAAAATTGAGCTGAGGATGAAAACAATCAACTACTGCGTCAGATATTTGAGGGGCGTCACCTGGAGATTGAAGTTGAATCGCAGTAAGCATACCTCGAGCTGTTTCTGGTAAATACTGTACGCAGAGTTCTCGCAATAGTGACTCGTCCATGGACGATGTACGGAACCTTTGGTGCATCTACCTCAGTAGCGTTGAGGGTTTCTTGTCACCCAGTTGCAGATCTGGGTATAGCTACTAAATACGGGTCCGCTCTGTTGGTGTGCTTCTGCTAATGACTGCCTGTTTAAGAGCGTCGTAACTTTGCTCAGAAGCGGGCTGCATTAAACAGCCTCTGAGTTGCAGGGTTACGCTGCTGCGCAGACAAGCTAGTACCTGGCTACACTTTGTTGAATTAGCGGTGATCCTCTGGCGGGTGAACTCATACTCTGCCGATAAAACCGAAACTGTGGATGGCTTCTAATAAACGGGTGGACAGGAAAAGTGACAGCATTGAAAGCAGGGCCAGGAAGTCTAACGTCCGGATCAGACATGGCAAAAGGATGCTAGACGATGAAAAACAGAAACCCGAACAAAAACGACAAGATTTGGTCTCACCGGGGTGCGAGATACAAGATGGTTGCGATGGATTTCGCTACCAGGATCACCAATTGTAGAGCGGAACTCAGGTACTAATTGCGACGAGAACCAGTAGGAACCAATACGGATACCATCTATTCAGAAGTGAGTACGTAGCCGGACCCAACGTGTATTGTAAAGATCTGCAATGAAGTAGAAGCAAATTAGGACAAGCATGATAGTGGGCGAATCCCAAAGAATTTGAAAGTGATCCGTCAGTAAAACAAATGGACGATCGGAAAATACAAACAATAATAAAATCCAATGTCACAAAATACTGACAGCTTAAATGTTTCATGTTCACTCCATTCCGTATGATCATAGACAATGCCTTTGCATATTGAATGGGATCCACTGCCTTGAGAGACTAGGCTTTGAGCTGACGCTGGAAACGTTCTGCCATGTCTTTCAATTGTGCATGGCAATACGTAGAAAGGGGTGGTTGGCACGCCAGCAACCGTGTTGCCCATGGCACTAAGAATACAACAGAACACGTACTTGCTCAGAAAAGATGCAAATGGCTGGCAACTTTTCACAAGCCCGGAGGTTTTTCAACAATATTGCAAGTGTACCAATGGACCACAAAATTAGACATGTACCAGTCACCGAATTCCTTGGATCTCCCACAGGTAAAATAATATTAGGTCTACTTGGAATGATGAGATTTGATGGTAGTTTTACTTGGTCCTCATTAAGATGAGGAGGAGGAGATAGAGTTAGATTCGCAGCTAAATGAATGCTAGTGAACAGTTTTGTGTGCAGACGAAACTCTCCGACGGCACATTCGGATTGACGCATTTGGATCGAAGTTCGCTTCTCTAGCCTGATACTCTGGTCTAGTCTACAAGATATTTGAGAATTGGACATCGCAATTGCGATTACAGGGTTTACCTTGGACCTATTTGATTCTTGTCTTGGGGGAGGAGTACACAAGATTTTCGAATCGTTTTTTTCATTTCTGATTGCACACTTGCAACCATAGGCAACTGCGGTTCTGCGATGGTGGGTTGACACCTTCGTAGGTTAGTGGAAAATTAGTGGGTAGTACTCGTGCCGGCTCAAATTCACAGATACTCCGCAGTGCTTGTGTTACGCGCCGATCAAGCTAAGTTACCTTCCATGACCAAATTTCAAGATAAAAGTGCAATCGACTTATGCCCTAACCTCTGAAGGAAAATACTGAGACTTGACTTGTAAAAGTTCCAACCCGTCAAATACTAGGTTCCCTTGCAATTTCAAGAAAGATCCATGCCGTTGAAACAGGATGAATTAAGTAGGTACACAAATAACTATCACATTTATGTCTGATCTGCTTGCGGTAACTGTTCAACCAAACTACAGCACGTCACTGAATTTCCACTATGCTGCTTATTCCTCTCTCAGAGCGACATCAAAAGTGGGAAAAGTGTGTAAAAAACCACTCTTATTTCTCATATTGAACTAGCCCAACAAAACACAGGCATGTTTGTTAAAACCGAGTATTGCATCAACTAATTGAAAATGGTGCCAAATTAAGCAAACTAGACTACGGATCGGCCAGATCACGTCTGCGTTTTTTCCTTAAACAGTCAGGTGTTATCGGGAGACCAGATAACGGTTCACGAGGGCAGATCAATTTTTAGAGCAACTTTTATTTTGTACAGCAGAAGCTTCCCTTTTGGCATAGTCGCACAGAGCGACACCGTTAACACTGCTAGTTAGGGGGAAGGAAAAGTGTGCAGCACACAGACTGGTTGCACGTTGCAACCAAACCGAGCTCCAAGCGGAGGCAATGCCTGACTCAAACAATGGAACTTCGCATGCAGTTCAACGTTCTGTCCCGATCACCTAAGCGTACAATGAAATTTTTGTTAGAAATTTGCAAAGACAAACAGGGCATCTACAGTTGCATGGAAACTGCCTTGCAATGACACACCAATGCTGACGATAATGGTTGATTGGAGGGAATTTACTGCTTCTAATGTTGGTTACTATTTTACTCACAATATCTTATAGAGTATACAATTCGGTTTTAGCCATAACCAGACTGAAGCCATCTACGTCCCCGTAAATGTTGCTCAACGATGAAGCTGCAATAAAGACTATTTCTGCTTACCTTTTATTTTTACATACCATCAGAGAAAAGATACAGCAAGGATTCTCGAGTTAGGGGCGACAAGGATCAGTAACATCTTGAAGAAAGATTCAAAATCGCTGGCATCCAACCAGAGAATTCGGTGAGTTACACGCATTTACTTTGTATAACTCAAACAGAGGTCATTAGATCGTGTTCCCTATTGCCGTCGTTTGGTAGCAATGTGTAGAGGCATGTAGGTAGCTTCTTTAGCTACTCGAATGTTGAACTGTTTGTTTCGTTTCGACGGACATTAAGTATTGACTATTCGAAATTTTATCTGCAATTAGTTCTCGTCTTTTTAGGCTATCGGGGGGAAAACTCGAAACTAGGCAGCTGTTAGAAAAATGCTCACTATCGACGGTTAAAAATGTCGGTTAAACGCATGATACTTCGCTGTGTCCATCCCAAAAAAGGTGGAGCATCTAGTGAGATACTTACAACCTTCGATAAATCTGCTTTCGAGAGATAAGGAGTTTATTCTCGTTTCCCCACCAATATCTGGCAAATAGTTTTTGGTAGTTTCTCTAAAGTGTTGCAGCAGTTTCTCACCGGTGTGTTTTTGTTTCTTGGATCTACTGACGATATTGGAAAAACCGGACGATCGTCTATTATTGACAAGTCAAAGTGAGTAACAAGACCCGAGCGATGTTGCGAGTTAAGGCTACAATATCAGATATATGCTGTATCAATAACCTAAAAAAGAGGCTCGGTGAGACATATAACCAGAGGCATCACGCGTAAAGGAGCCCACGCTTTCCGCTTATCAATTGATGACGAACTCTCAGAGCACACAGCCCAATTCATTGACTGTTATACCCAACGTAATTTTGAAGCTGAATGCAAGCGCAGACTCGGGTGTACCACTTTTGGTGTCTCCGTGCGGTTTGACACTCCAAACGGCATCGGTCACAAGATACTTGCTCCGTACTGCTAAAATTTGCGTAGAGAAATACAGGCAGCCAAGTGCAAAATATCCGATCACGTTTTGAAGATAACCAATTTGGAAATGGAAGCACATGACTTTAGGAAAGCGTTTCGGTTTTTGTAATAATCCATCGGACAAATATGCATCTGTATTTGTCGACTGTCGTATGGCCTAGTTCACACGCTCCACTCTTTGCGTTCAATGTTTTCTCACATTGTTGGTAGAGCCCTGTGCCGGTAGCTATGCTCAATAGGACGTAGTGAAGTTATTGTGAGCAAAATATTCTGAAATAATTATGTGGCTCGCAGTAACTAACACAAGAGGAAAACTGCTCGAAAAGCAAATCTAAAAAGAGAGGTGACGGACAATAGTAATCGCTAGCCATTTATTTTCAGGACACTGCAAAAGCGGATATAGCCTATTCTGAGTGGAAACACAAAGGCATTCGTTGAGCTTATCAGAGCTTGTTAGCAGGTTTCTACGACAATAACAAAATGGTGTGTAAGCATAGAAGGATTCCGGTGCTCCAACACAGTGCATGATACGATTGATGACACTTTTGAATGCATGTCGATTAACAAAATTTTGTGGAGGGTGCAAACCAGACGGCTATTCGACATTTGTACTTAGCCTCCTAATCCAAGTGATCGATCCTCTTTGGGAAGTTCATCCGCTACATATCTCCTTTTTAGGTCGTTTGCACATTTTAAAATATTGGAACCACGATTCATGACAAGTAAAGAGCGTAGGCGCAACATGTCACGCAAGTTGGTAAGGAAAGAAATTACAAACTCGGCGACTGCACAAGTGGACAGAATAAAAGGTGTGTAACGGCGTATACGAAACGGGCTTGTGGGGATAAAATAGCACCATGCAAAACGGAAGGATACTTTAACGTGACTAACGCTCATTCTAAAGAACTATGGGATTGTTCACCCACTTGAACTAATTTACATGCATAAGTGCAGATTAAAATTCCAAGAAACTAATTTGTCGGAATACAGTCCAGATGATGCGTTCATGTAAGAAAATGTAAGGAGTTGTGCGCGATATCCGGGCCATTTTGAAAATTTCTTGTGTGGGTCATACACAATTGAGTTAGCGGACCTGGAGGAAGAGGTGAGTTCGTCGACAATCTAGTTGACTGTATTGTCGACTGGCTTTTTAGCTACTGTCTCTCAGATTGGTTTTTCAGTTCCTGCATCGTCTACCTGTTTGTCATAAGGAATACTATCATCAATACACCTTAGAAGAGGATGAGAAACGCACCACAGCTAATGCGCCGTCCTAAGTATTCCCTTCCTGACTTCATCTCCAAAATGAGCACTTTTGCAGCAGACGCAGTGCATGAAGCGCACACGTTTCTTCTGCCTGTTGAACGACACAGCAACGGGGTGATGACCATTGTGTTCTCTCCATACGGTTTAGAAACCTGCATCGTACTGCCTAACCAAAGCTCGATGTTTCAGTCGACTTTGATCGTCCTCTCCTACGTATGGGCACCCATTTCACGCTGGGTAGTATTGCGAATCTTTCGATAGAATGCTTTCACAAACACACTAGCGTGTGATCGACCGCAAAAGATGGCATATGGTATAAACAAAATCTTGTCGTTGGATAGAAGTACAGCAAGATCCACTGTTTGATGATAGTTGAGCGGTTTCGTGCTACAGATTTAGGGCCAACCTTTCAGAAAATAAACATCGTGCGACATCACCGGTAAAAATACACACGTGATTTGCTGTTTTCATTGCAGTGGTGTTTACTGATTTTCTGTTTATCTGCCCCGGACAATACTGTACGAATGCGGATTTGACGCCGAGTAAAACTACGTCTATCGTAAGAGCTGGGGCTGCGATTTCGTTTCGTTGCATCCAAGGCTCCATCATAAACACTGGACCTTAGTGCAATGGTTTGCTTGCCTGAGTGATCCACTGAACTATGCTAGGTGGTAATTTTTACATCCTCGGAGTTACTCGTGCTTGATTGGTCAGTAGTTAGAGGCCAGACAAACTCAGTCTCCTGACCCTCCAACTTGGAATGTGGGTGGCTCATTACTCCGTAAAATGGACCCACTGTAGCTCAGTGTCAAAGCCCCAGTGCCTTGCGGTCAGAATTTCGTACAAATGTTTTGGTTGAGAACCCTAATGATTCTGTCTAGTTATGAGCACCACGACAGTATCGTACCCACCCAGAACAAGGAATTTCTTTCCAAAAGTTTCTGAATGCTCTTGCCGTCGCACAGGATAATCAAGGGCGCAGTATCTGCTAATTCGAACCGTTTGAATAGGGGTTTGGATGCTACTATCTTGGGCTTCTCATCTTCCTATTCCCTTACTTTCATCCTTATCTTCCCGGCCCAACTGCCCTTTTATCCCCCGTATTTTAACCCCACAATACGTATTATAAACTGTAAATCAAAGATAAATCCATAAGGAAGGACGGCAAATGAGATGTTGGTAAAATTCGTGTCTTCTGATGTACACATACAAGAGGCAAAAAAGTAGAACGAAATCTGGAATTTGGCCATCAGTGAAATCGCTTACAAAAACTTGCTTTTATCCATGGTAATGAGTCATGTGTGATGGTGCAGCGAAATAAGTGCACGAACAAATCGGGCTTTGAACCCTGTCAGTGTGGAGTACATATGACAGCTTCTGGTGGGGCATTCGCGGTACGGCAAACGCGCACGAAAAAGAAATTCCGGCCACATTCCAAATGATTGTTATGTTTTGCCAGCCTGAGATGGTAGCCTCTCAAATTACTGTTGTGACTGAGCTCTAGTAAGTAGCGGCACGTGAGGTTGGGATCTCTCAAAATTTGGTAAGTCAAAATGAGGTCCCCGCGCAGTCGACCATACTGTCCGCTGAAGATCCCGAGCACTTGTAGCCTTCGTTCATACAGCGAATTATAAAGACCCCTAACATTCTTGGTTACCCGGCGTTTGGATAACTCCAAGGCAGTGAAACCTCTCTTCAGCCATGGCTGCCAGACCTATACTAGGTATACAACATGAAGTTGTATTTATGAGCCGAGAAACTATGCAAAAATCGGGGGGTCGAATCTTCAGAATGCACGCTTCAGGATACCGACGTGTTAAATGCCTCGCCTTGATGCCGTTTCAACTTAATTCGAACATCCAAGGTCGAGCTGGACAAAAACTCGTGTACTTCACGTCAGAAGACCTTTGAAGCTCCTGGTTTCCCAGTTTGAAGGAGTAGACCAACTTGTGCCGTAAGTGCAACACTCTACATTTGTCCACATTGGATCGAAGTAGATTCTGGATTGACCACGCGTTTACCCTATCCAGATGGACTTGTAGTACTGTGATATCATTTGGTGCATTGATCGCCCCCCATACCTTGATGGCGTCGGCGTAGAGCAGGCAGTTCTAGCTTATGGGGCGTTTGATAACGTTAGTATACGTCAAAAATAACCGCGGTCCTTGTCCCGATCCCTGTGGTACTCCGCCTTCGCATGGATTGGATCTGACAGCGATTCACCCATTCGTACTTCTAAGCGCCGGTGTAGAAGAAACCTTTTGATCCACCCTAGGAGAGGATCACCAATACCAAAAGTCTGAAGTTTGAAGAGCAGAATGTTATGGTCTAACCGGTCGAATTCCTTTGAGAAGTTGAGAGAGAGATTACATCAACTCCTGTGCTTGAGTTCACTGCTTCAGTCTAGCTGGATCGTGCTAGTAGTAGTGTTGTGGTGCACGATCGATTTCTTCGGAAGCCATGCTGTTCCGGTGCAAGGTAGTTAAATTCTTCCAAGTAGATCGTTAGCGCCTCATAAGTAATAGTTTCCATAACCTTTGAAAGAACCAGTAGTAAGGTTATGGAACGTTAGTTGGCTGCATTGGAAAGACTATCTCCCTTGTAAATAGGAGTAATCATCCAGTGCTTACACATGCCGGGCATGCACATTTCGTCTAAACAGTGTTAGAAGAACCGATTCAAAGGCTCATCGAAACTCTCTCCTACCGTTGCCTGCGATTTCGTGTGTATATTATTAACTCCAGGAGAGCTGTGGTTGCGCATGCTCAACGGCATTTTCAGTACAGCTTCTACTGTGAACGATATGTTAGTACGTTTTGGGGGTAAAGCAACAATTGTCACCGGGTTAGGTAACAAGTGATCGCACTGAAATGTTGCAACGTATTATAGGCACAA